GTCACGTGCTAATGTAAAGTCTATGTTCATTTTACAGTACTTTCAGATCTGTGCGAGTTTTAATACAGGTGGTCTTCCTCAGATCATCTCAGGTGATGCCAGGCTGGAACATCGACCACTTCCACCTTGTGAGTGTTCCCATCAGACCGTTCCTACCTCCGTCCAACATGTGAGCCAACCCTAGCTTATTTCCCAATTATGACTAGAACTTGTCTATTCAATCTGGATGGCATCTTTTAAATTACTTTAAATTATCTTCTGAAAAAAGCTACTCCTGCAACAAAACAAAGTCAAAGTCATTTTAGAATAGTTTTCAAATTGTGGTTCATAACTGCATTACACCTCAGAAATAGCTTGGCTATCTGTCACAGTGGGCACGGCTTCCTCTTCTATCCCCATACTCTGTATACAAAATGATGGGTTATTATACAAAAGTTGTATCTCTGTCTTATTTATTGAAGTGTTGGTTCCTAAATAAAGGATCTCGACAATGATTTGAGTTGGCTGAAAACCTGCTTGAAAATTATGTATTTCAGTAAAAGGTTTTCAACAAGCTCTATTTCTGAAGTTAAAGTACTTCAATTCCCAGTGATAAAATTCATTAAAATATAAATTAACCTAAAGAAATAGATGAATCACAATGGTATATTTGCATATCATCTATTTGGTGTGAGTGTAACAGTTTCTTCATGTAGACTAACAGCTACTGCAATCTTCACAGCTGCATTGTTGAGTAAATGACTGTGGGGTGAATGAGAAAGCAAAGAGGACAAGGACAAAAATTATTTTTGCTGAATGGGAAAGAATGCTGCAGAATTCTGCAGTTGGAATTAAAACCTATGTTAAACCAGTTTCCACCACTATGATGTATCTCAACTAATCAATTAGCATAGGAGGTTTATGACTATCTCAGTATTGTAATAATAGGCAAGGATTTAAGGAAATATCATGTTTTGATTGTATTTTCAGAATTGTAGATAATTAGTGATTATTGCAATGAGAGTGAATATCATCTAAGAAATAAAGGTGAAGAGTGATCAGGCTGGATGGAATGAGAATGTCTTATCTCAGGGGAGATAAATGATCCACCTGCAGTAAGACCTTTCCATCTGCAAAAGGCAGCAACAGAAATTTCTAATAAAGTTTGACCTGTTATTCTGTAAGTAATATATTCAAGACTCCAATACAGAGTATCTTGTCAATTCCTCTTAATAAATGAAGCTGAGCTGATACAGCAGCTTCTGCCGTTCCTCTGATCTGTACCAGTTCTCCGTATATGCCTTCATGTGTATTTCCATGAATTACTGATGCACTTGGCCAGTGAGTTTTCTGTGACTTCAAAGCCAAGACTTTCACTTTGCCTTGTGTAAAACATGCCCAGCAGCTGGGTACTGAAGAAAATAAGTAGGGAGAAAAATATTGATTTTAGATGTTAGGATAATCTAAGAAAAATTTGTTTTTTCTTTAGATTTCTCATTTGTTGCAAATACTTCCCAGGGTATTCTTTTGTAGCAAATCAATTAGCTCCATATAAATCCAACCAATAACTGCAAATATGTCATTTGTAACAATCAGAAGGTGCTATGGCATGGGAGGAATTGTTCTTAAGAGACACTATTCTACATCTCTCCAGTTTTCCAGGGGAAAGGATGAAGAACAGATTGGTTACTCTTCAAGAATGATGGTCATCAGGCTCATTGTTGGCTTTTTGAAAAGGCTTATGGTTGACATCATAGAGCACAAACTTGATTAGCTCTAATATAATTTTTAGCTTTTGTGATGCAACTCAGTTTGTCGTTGCGTGTTGCTCTGACAATGTAGTGTTAGGAAGACAGTCAAAAGAGCCAAACAGTCCCAGATTTATGCCCTTTTTAGAAATGACTAAGACATTTTGAATCCTATAGATCGACAGACCTTTATACTTCTAAATCTCCTAGAATATCTGAAAATATGACCTTTAATACAGTCACATCTTTCTAAACAGCTTCAAGGGTCATCCCAGCGTTTCCAGATAAATTTGGAGACAAATAAAATGAGAAACTGCGGAGCTCAGCCTTAACCTGAGAAAGAATAAATCATAAGATGTGGAAAAAAAGAAAGTTCCATGACTACAGATTTTCAACAATACAATTTTACTTTAATATCATATCCACAAGTTCTTCAGTCACATGAGAACCTGAAGCTTGTAAGTAACCTGACTAAGTGTGATTATTGCTACTCTTTAGGAAAATGGTTCGATAACTCATTGATCTCCAATTGCTTAAACTTGTCTAAAATATCTTCCTTCTTCTACTTGATATGGTCGATTTTTTTCATAAGTGGAAGAATTTTTAATATTCAACTTGGTAACATTTGAAATCAGCCTGAAATAGACAATTTTATAAGAGTTTTATAAACTCCATTTAAATTGAAATCAAGGAAATGGGAAAAAAAGTATTGCAGATGAGTAATTTTTAAGGATTTGGGAGGAGGAGACACCATTATGTAAAGGAATGTTTATTATCAAAGCATATAAATGGCTTTAGCTGACAGCAGAACAATAACTTCAAAATTTCACATATCATTCTCAAATTTTAATAGAAAAGGAAGCTAGAAAAAGGAAGGTAGATTTGTTCTATTCTGAAGACAAGAAAGGCTGGTGTAATTGTGGTTTTTAAGTATTTTTCAGACATAACTTGATTTCAATGTTTTTAATTCTGATTTGCAGTAATAAAAACTAGGTGCAAATGAGTGCTGATGAGTCTGTATTGAAGTTAAAGGAATAGTTAAAAATGTCTATGAATATTCATTTAAATTCAGAAATGAACTCCAAATTGATCATACCTATGACTCTTTGGGAATTTGCTCTCTATGAGCATACAAGCACTTGAAATTAACTTTCATGAATATTTCCAAAAGCAAATTTTCAATTAGATATTTCAGATACTTGCAGAAAATAATTTTTCAGTGATATATTTAATTGTGAGATTTGGATTTCACATCATGCTGCCTGATATTCACGATCTGTTCTGTGGGACTGCATATCTAAAGGCCCTCAGGAAGATTTTGGCTGGATGGAACACTTTGGAGAACCCTTACCTTGTGAATTGCAGAATTTATCAAAAAGAAGAAACAAAGAAGATACAAGAAAATAAGAAACTGACAGATTTCAAATTTCCATTTGAGGAATTTTTTTTTAATATATTGAACATTGTAATTCAGCACAAAGTGAATCTTAGAGGCCTATTTCTCCTCACTTGTGCTGTCAGATGATCACTGACTATGTCCAAGCAGAATAATTTTAAGAAAGTGATTGGGGTTTTTTTAACCGTTGAAGACAAAAATCCTGATAGAATGCAATGGCTGATAGTTTGGGATAACTTAGAAAAGTGGTATACATGCAATGACTGTCAGTGAAGCTCCAAAATGGGATGTGTGGTTTCAAATAGAAGCTGACTTCATGTAAGAAGTCCTAGGTCTAATAAGATGTTTGTATAAAACTGTTCTCATGGTGTATCCAGTTAAGCATGACCTTGAGCCTGTTGTGACTTGCAGGAAGAACTGAAGCCAGAAAGAGTATTCTTACTAAGGAATCCGACAGAAATGACAGTTTGGCAATCTTCCATATCAGAAGAACCGTCACTAGCAGGTGAGTTGAGAGGACGAGATGTGGCCGGCTTGGCACATGTACATTTGTATTCCTAGAAACAGGGACAAGAAGGAAGGATTCTTGACCCCTCTGTGGACCCAGTGGGATCAGTTCTGGCCTGAGCTCCGATGCGCAGGGAACCTGAGAGAGGTGCCCACAGGACCCCACGGGCTGGCCCAGAGAAGGTGAGCTCATCCACCTTGAATGGGGAAAAGAGGTGCTCAGGGTGAACAGCCTGAGCGAGGTTTGGACTGTATTTGGCAGCCAACTGTGCTGCTGATCTTGCAGGGGCTAGGTGAGGTCCTTATCCATAACTGCAGTCTAGAAATGCGCTTTTTAATTTTAGTTTTTATTTTGTGAGTTTATCCAATGTGGTGTGCAGGAGTCTAACCACTTATTTGGCTGGATTAAATGTGTCCTGATTTCATCTTTTACTTTGACAAGTGAGAAGCATATTCCCTATGGCTGATTCAGGGCACTTTCTTACTGGTGTACACACTGGCACACAGGTATTCCCTCGGAGCAGAGAAGTGGTTTCCCACCTATTTACTGGAGTCAGCTTGAGGGCAAGTAACAGGCAGTGCTGGGTCAGTCTCCCTCGGCAGGCACAGCCAGTCTCTAACAAGCAGCCAGCGAGGGGAAATTGTTTATGACGCATACGGTACCATAAGAGGGTCGTACAACTCAAAAGAAATTGAATCAGGTTTCTGGAACTGAGACAACTAAATTATTTAGCCAGAACAGTCTTTGTTTGCAAAGATGCTGAGTACCTTGAATCCCATGTTCAAATATTCTGCAAGCTAAAATACTGTTTATTAGAAGAAATTTGTGAGTAATTTAAAGCCAGGGATTATATGGGGAGTTTTCTAAGTGATTTGTAGGTGATTTAAAAACAAGAAAAGAAGGGTGAATAAATTATTTTGTTACCTATTGCTTCTTCATCTCTAGTTTGGATAGTGAGGGAATCCAGCCCCAGTGGCTAGAAGGCATACATGCCAAGATTGGATTTCCTGTGTAAAAGCTATACAATGTGATAACACAGTTGTACTGCATATTCAGTTTTGATATGTAACCTTTTAAATAAATTGGAATACTCTTTGTGGCTGTACTGGCACACACAGAGAGATCATAAACAATAATTTTGTAAAGGTCACTTCCACACTAAGCGCTCGAGCTCGTGGCAAGAGCAGCATAGGGCTATTAAAGGACCTTTATGCTTCTATTTTTTGGTGTCTGTTAATATTTTTGCAGCTTTGAAGCTCTGTTTAACATAAAGGCTTTGTACTCTCTCAGGCCATGGGTTTGCCTGTGCAGCCCTTGCCGTGGGGCCCTGGGCTGCCTTGCTGTGCTGCAGGGCTGGCAGCGAGTGCCCGCGCTGGCTGTCGGAGCCAGGGGTTACTTGCAGAGGTAGTGCGATGTAGAATGCCCGAGGCTGGCAGCATTCCTCCTGCTGAGAATGAGGGGCAACACAGCACGATCCAAACTGTGGAGGCTGCTGACCTGTTGTGTCAGGAGCATCTCAAAAGAACCAGGTATCAAGAATCTGGGCAATACATGAGGGCCAGCAGTGGCTGAGGAACTTGCACAAGGTGAGAGGTACCAGATGCTTGCCAAGCTCAGTCCGGCTGCATAGCACACTGCTCAGATTTTCCTGCTGCTTCCTTCTAAGGTGCTAATGAAGTTGTGTGAATCATTTTATTTTGGTCCAGTGGAAAACTTGTTCTCTTGCTCTTGTGTGTTTCCAGCAAAATACTTTGTCTCAGAGTAAATTTTTGGAAGCTCATAGTCCCTCCAACCAACATTAAAACCACGTATATCTGCTGGTCTTTAGAAACAAAGGCACATTTTGTTACAAACTCCCTTTATGTTATAGGATGTTTTTCTTTCTTGTGATTGACAAGATAGCCTAAATCAATATCCTTTTATTTCCAGACCTCTATTATTTTGAAGAAATCCGCATCTGTCTTCATGACAGTGTAGTGGCATCAGAGGACACTCTAAGCAAGGTAAGTGGAGTCTGTCTGGTGTCATTAAAATAGCCCCTAGCCTTTGGATGTCTGTGGTATCTGGGGGCTTCTGACCTCCAGGAGAGTCGAGCAGGAGACTGAGGTGGTGGGTTTTAACTCCTAGATGTTTTCTCTCCAATGCTGCCTGGTGGTGTAAAGCCACTGTGGCTCATAGGAAGAACAGGATGTTTGTAAGGATGTTGGCAATGTGCAGAGGTGTTGTAACTAGCAAACACCACAGTGTGCCCAGAGAAAGGATGCTTAATGTTGCAGACATGGCCTCTCTAGCACAGAGAGGTAGGTGCTGCCTACCACAGGAGGTGGCTTGTCCATGTGCTCGTGGGGACACTCCCATGCCTGCTCTACTGCAGTTGGAATTGTCCCCATCACACAGCACTGTGCAGAGCTGGGCCAGAGCTGGGGTGACAGCCCAGGTATCCCCGGTACGGATGCTGCCGGCATCCGTGCTGTTGTGGTGTTTATTCAACACCTAGGAATTTTATTAAAAACTATTTCGCTTCTCTCTCTGTGAAAAGTCCTCAAATGCATGATTCAAAGCTTTGATTTTCTCTTCTGTGGAAGACCCATGCCTAGCGCCTATCTGTGGTCTTGGGGAGGTTACCTGAACTCAACAACAGAGAGATTTCAGCCTGAAAGTTTAAATTACCCACGTGTCTCTTATCCTGAAAAATCTCTTCACTATTTCTGTGGGCAAGATGGTAATAATCCATATTTCCCAAATTTAAAGTGTCAGTGACAGTTTGTTGCTAGCCCCTCCGGCATTAGCATGGACAATCATATTAATACTTTGTATATTTTATGAGATTCTTAATGACTCACCTAAATTTTAACACATTTACTTGACAGAATTTTAAGGAAGGTCATAACATTATAAAAGTATGTATTTGTACTTGTTCCACATCACTCCACAGAGTGTAACTGTTTTTTTCCTCAAGCTGATGCATTGTAGCTAATAATTTTACTCCTTTAGCAGCATTTGTCTGACCTTCCCTACCTTCCCCTGTTTCCTGAATGAAAAAGAATTTTTGGTAAGATACTACATAATCTTCCCAGAAAAGGGATAGCACTTCAATCTCATAATAAGGAAGAAAAGATGTAATTTCCCTTGTGATTGATAAGCATAATTTGTAAATGAACCTGCTTTATGAAATGGTGAAAAATGGTTGGAGCAGTTAAAAAATGACTTGAATATAGAGAAAATAGACTCCCATACGAAAGAATATAAATTTGTAAATGTAGAATACAAAATTATTTTTACACATTAAATTAAGAAATTAATTTGGCTGACATTACCTTCAATTTACATAGAAACCATCTTTCACATTTTCCATGTAGACCATTTTCTATGTTCTGCTGTGACTGAGGGAAAAACAAAGCACATGAGTCCTTTAAGGCAAGAGGAAAACATCCCGAAAGTCATTTTAACTGATTCCAAGAGTTGTGCAGCAGGCAGAGATTCAGGGAATGACAAAGGCATGCAGAGAGGGAGGCAGTGATGCCAGGGAAACAGCTGGTGTCTGAAAAGCCCAGTTTGCCGTCCCCGTTACTGCTCTGCGTGGAGGCTGGGGCAGAGCCGTTCACTGATCAGGCCAGGCTCTAGCACGGATACTGCGGTGCAGATGCTGGTCTAAAACTCATGGCTTGTGAGGCCCCAACCAGCTGGGATCGAGTACAGCAAAACTAGATCCTAACTCCACACTGCCATGGAGAGTTGGAAAACCAGTTCCGTGCTTGACCACGTGGACTCATCGGGAATGGCTGCATTAAGGAAAAGTCTCTGAGGTGGACTTCTTTCAGTTCTGTTCACACGTTGCTCCTAGACTATGTGGACACGTGCTGGCCCATCTCTGTACTTCTGGCTCTTCTATCACAAGACTGAAGCAAATTTTCAGTTTGTGGCCCATTGTTTCTCTAGTTCCTTCTGAACACCCCAAAGCTGAACAGCTGGTGAAAGCTCAAAGTATATCTTTAAGGCACCTACCAGTGCCACAAACAAACCACAGCATGGTTAGATTGTGTCATAACAGTGTCCAGAGTGTTTCTTGTGCAGGAAGATCTAGGTGAACAACTAGGTAGGTGCAGCTAATTTGCACAAGCAGAGTCCAGCTCTTGAGCCCCACTGAATGTCTGGGAACAGCCGTAGGTTGGTTTAGAGGCCAGGGATGGTGACTATCTGATTCTTCCTCTTCCCTCCGCATCCTTCCCCATCTTCTTGGTGAGGAGAGTAAGAAACACCCATTTACTCTTCCTAGATCAAACTGTAACTAGTCCATAATGAGACATGCCAGTATCCTTTCTTCCTACTCAGGCACATAAAACACTCAGCAAGTTTTTCTAGGCTCAAAAACTCAGAGTTGAGCCTTGCATGGTGACACTACGTGACCAAAAGCAAAGTGCAAATATGTCTAAAATTCAGGACCTCAATTTAATTCACTATTGTCAGGACATTTCAGACAAAAGATGGAGAATGATACATGAATCCAAAACACGATATATGTATAAAAAGTCTAGTAAATATTTCCAATTTCTTCCACAAGCTTTTTTTTCAAGAAAAAAACACTTAACTCCGCTATTGTGTTCTGACACTGAAGCTCAGTAGCAAACTGTGTGAAATCAGCCATTCACATTAACTGTGGCCAGGTGAAGGAAACACCACGGTGAAGATATTAGGAAGAGAGAAGCAGAAAAATAGGTTGCCCATTCTCCTTTCTCTCATTTCTTACACAGTTTGGCAGAGAGTTCAGGAAGGGGCTTTTCGCCTCTTCAGGGAGAGACATAAACTTGGACCACACATTCTCAAACACTGCCAGCTTGTCATTCAGCTCATGCATTCAAGATGTTGCATATTAATAGCACTCCCTGATGGCTGGTGGATAGGGTCTCTCCACCTATAAAAAATAAGCCTCTTGGCACAACAAAGTACAAAAGAGGCCCATACAGGGAAAAAAAATGCACTTGAGAACTGGTTTGGAGAAACTCTGCACAGATGCTCATGTGCAGATGCATATTTCAGATGTTTTTTTTCCTGATTAGCATGCAGCAGACTCACCTGTTTTGCTGCCTAGAGGAGTCACAGCAGACATGGAGAAACACCTGCGTGAGTTCAGTTCTGTCTCCCTGTGAATATGATTTTCACAGCAACCTTTTTCAATTGCCCTTGTGTTAGCCACTGATACGCTTTTCAGTCACCATCAAACACAGAATAGTACTTCAGGATGAAGACAAAGCATGAGCAGTGCAGGGAGCTGTATGTTGAGAAGGGAAGAAGGGAATGGGTGGGTCGACTGGTCCTACCACCCTTACTGTACAGGTGCTTTGCGGGAGCACTGGGAATGCTCAGGCCCGATGGGTTCTGACCTGGCTGAGATAGGAGGATGAGCTTGCAGGACCTGGGCAAGAACCTAGCATTTGTGATCTGCAAATGATCTGACACTTAGCACATATATAGCTTTACCTGAGGTCTGGTTGTGGGATCCAAGAAAATGAACCAGGCTGCTTCCCCTCATCCCGTGCAGTGTGCTGGTTACACGTGTCTGCTCTTAATTCTCACACTGAGCTCTACAGACAGATCCTACATATACATAGGGAATAAACTTCCTTTGTACTCTGCTCCATTGTAGTTTACTCTAATGGCAGGAGGCACAGCTCAGGTCTAACCGTGTGTTTTGTAAAAATGAGCCTCAGGAGGAGAAGGTGGAGAGAGGGTTGCTTATACATGTGTTGATATCTGATGCAATCTTCAGCATGAGCCACATTTTTCTGGATATTTCAGCATGTACTGAGAATGACACATGAGCAGTCCAAGCTATTTTCGGAACTGACAGTTTTCCTTCTCACTCCAACAATTGCTTCTTCAATACACTAGAGTATGCAAAGTGCTTCAATAAAGTTTTAATTAGGAGTAGGAGTAACAGTGAAACTATGGGAAAACTTTAGGCAAAATGAGAAGTGACTTCAGCTCATACCTGTTTTGCAGATTTGGTGTTAACTTTTTGAAAAAAACTGCACATTTTGGAATTTGTTGGTTTCTGGCAAGGATTTGTAGAAGGAATCCTTTTCAGGAGTCCTGAAACAGCATAAGAAAGATTGTTTCTATGATGTTCTGACCCAGGAAAGACCCAGCAGAAATCTGCTCTGATGGGAATCATGGGCTGAAGTGGTCTGGATATATTTTGATCTGAGCTCTCAGGTACTTCTCTAAACCAAAATATTCAAAATGTTTGAGGTTTTTAAAAAGCTTAAAATCTTCTCAGATCCTTACAAGAGAGAACAGGTTACAAACAGAAGTCTCCAGATAAATCTGAGATGGATTTTTCTGCGGTGGTTCTTTCATACTCTTTGACTGAAGTCTGTTGACTGACATCAATAACACAAACACCTGATGGAAGGGGTCTCAACTTTTTCTTAAGATGTCCAAATCAATTAGGTGTCTGAGGCATGGTAGTGTATTTCCTAGGAACTTAATTTCTCTCTGTTACCTTCTGACAGAAGTAACCAATCTCTTTGGAGCTTGCAAAGGAAGGTGCATCCCACAGAGCTGATGTTATGTGCACTACTTGTAGACAGGTATGTTTAACAAAAGATGCATTCTGGATGCACTCCAAATATCATCACTATTGTTTAATTTCAACTCCAGTCCTGCATCTATTTAAGATAGTGTCAAAGATAATAATCTCACCAGGCAGATACAAAATACAAAACTGAAATTATGTCGCTCAATTATTTTGTTTACTAGTGGTGTTAAACTACTGTATTTCTCTGAATCATGCAGAAGAGCTATGATTTTTTACCTTCAAACTCCTCTGAAAATGCAGCCATTTAGCATCAGTACCTATTTCTTTCCAGATTACGTTACATGAATGAATTTGATAGGAGTCACCATGGTGAGGAAAGGATAATGGAATTTCAGGTAAGAGTTCTTCATAATGAATTCATTCCTTATACCATGTTAACACCCACCCATGGAATTAAGGACCTTTGTAACACAATGCAACAATTTACTAGACATCACAAAACACCAATTATAGAATTGAACTGAAATAGGCTGCCAAATACTCTGTTCCTGATAAAAGAAGGTAGGTATAGTCATGCCAGCACATTTTAACTCCTTCCTAAAAATTCACTTGGGTCCATTGTGTACTTCCTTGGTGATACAGAATTAAATTGACTGCCATGCTATGTATGACATGGAATGTAAAATAAAATAAAATTAAATTAAAAAAGGACTAGGTCATGAACAGCAGTGAATGTGAACTCAGTTTGGATCATATTTATTTAAATAATTATAGCAGATTGTTAACTGTGAGAATCTCCTGATTTATGCAAGGAAAAATGATAGAGTGTTAGCTTCTATATTGTATATTTAGCTTGATAAAAGGAAGCCAGCCTGTATGGAAGAAGCACGCAACTGAGGTTCCTCAGCTGATATTACATAAAAGGACAATTATGTCAGTACTTTACAAAGAACTCTTAAATCCTTAGACTGAATCTTGTCTGTTTTTGCTGGTAGGAGAGTACCAAACTGTAAGCAGAACTGAGCAGGATCTGACTTTCCATCACAGACAGTTAATAATTAAATCAAACATTATATTCAACAATAGAACATATGCATCAGCTTCTTTCAAATTGCATTTCCTTCCTGTTAGATCCATTAGTGTAAACCAGACTGCCTTTAGAAAACCCCTTATTGCTGCTGTCTTTCAGCACAGTTCCTGAAATGGATAATGTGGTGCGTATTATGGGCAATTACACAGAACTCCCTAGTGACAGGGTTTTAGAGTTTCAGAATAAAACAGCTGGAACTACAGGGCTGTAAACTAATCAGAAAAAGAGACAGTAGTAAGAAATTTAATGCACATTGTTAGAACATGGACAAAGACTAGACATGAAATACTACATATCGCTATACTTACTGTATTGCACACCATTTTCACTGCAAAATCCTGGTTAATGCTTGAAGGACAAGGCAATCAAAACCCAAAGATATTGCCATGAAAAAATGCATGCATGGCTGTATAACCTGAGCTAATTGGAAACATTAAAGGAAGAAGCCTTGAGCCAGAGTCCTGGTTTTCACTTAATGTCAGTTGAATTTGAATCAAATAGAGAACTCTACTCAAAAATGATAATTTATTAACAAATGCATAATGAATACATATCTAGATATGCTAAGAAACTATGTCTTTATCCCTCTTTTACTGTTTTAAAACACTCTGAAAATTTAGCATTTGAGTTGCAAAAATTGCATTTGCTCTTGGATATATCAAGACTACTGCCACAATGCATAGTGTTTGATCCTCCATCAGTTTAAATTGATGGCAAAGCTCCCATTAATTTTAGTAATACAGCAGCGAATTTTTAGAATAGCACATGCATCATTTGAAACCACAATGACCATGATTACATGTGTAATCACAGTAATTGTGCACACAATTACTGGTTGGTATCTAACTGCCTTTCAAAAATCAGTTGCTCTACTTGCATGTATACTCACAGCAGTCACTTGTGCGAATACAGTGCAGCCCAGAGCGTCCCTACCTCCATGCTCACCACTGAAATACTACAGAGCAGGGCTGTGGCTGTGGCAGTAGGTCTGTGCAATAGAGAAGCATGTGCTTATGTTGCAGTGTTCTGAACAATAAATAAGAAAGGAAGAGAAATGGTTGCAGTGTGTCTTTGGGAAAGTAAAAATGTGAAATTACTTCAACTAATTTTTCAAAAGGACAGAGACTGATTTTCACCAGCTCCTGTCTTGTGAGCCTTCTTATCAGCAGGGTCCAGCAGGCATCGGCACATTAGTGTTTTCTAATGCTATGGTAAATTGATCAAATAGTGTATTGAATAACAGCACCATACTAGAATAAAATAAAAAAATAAAAACTGAAATGAGACAAAACAACACTGAGTAAGATTTTGCAGCCTAAAAAAAGTCAGAAAACAGTTAAAATTTCAACATAGTGTGCAGTGAGTTTCTTGCAGTGCAGAACCCAAGAACCAGCTGCTGTGGCTTACTCTAGTCTGAAACGTGAATCCTTTTGCTCAGAAGGTTGATTTTTATAGCTGCAGAGGTACAGAAAAGCACAACTTCCTTGGATAGTGATAAGACACGGATATCCATTCTTATGCTCAGCAAAATGGTAGCAGGAGAAAATCTGACACAAACCATTTTATTCATTTGTCCCTCACAGTCCTGGCCTCCCTCTTCCCCTGTAGTGCAACGAGTATGCTTTGCTTTTCTGGTGACAGCTTTATGACCCCACAATCAAGGGGATGGAGGGGATGGGCAGGTTGGGCCTGGCTGCCTGGCATGTGCTTCTCCCGAGAGGTCTGTGCGGACAAGGTTGGGCCGTGAGTCAACATGAGAGAAAGCAGATGTCAGTTAACAGCTCGAAAACACCCTCCTCCTGGGGAGAAATGGGCCCTCTTCCAGGGGATGGGAGCGCTGGGGTTGTGTTAGGGCAAGAAGTAGCACAACCTCTCCAGGAGCCACCCTTGCCATGCAGTGACAGCTGAAGGCACTCACTCCAAGGGACTTGAACAGGACAGGTCCCACAGCTTGTGAGCATGGGCTCCCCAGCAGCCCTGACCCTGATGTGAAATGTAGCTGTCTTCCCATAGGGAAGAATCCAAAAAAATTACTATGAATGACAAATGAACTTTTTCCGAGGCTGCCTATCACTGGGGGAGGGCGGCTGGGCTGGGAGGCCTTCAGTGGACTACACCTTGTATGTTTACCAAGAGGAAAGCCTTGTAAAATGCGATGGGATGGATGTAATTCTGGGTGCATTCCTCCCATTGTGGGGTTCCATTTCCGAAGGCTTGAGGTAGATAGGGAAGGGGTTACTCCAGCTCCAGGGGTTTCTTCAGGGTCCTGGACGCATGGAGGGGTTAGGTGCTCACCCCTCCCCCCACCCACGTGTTCCCATGGCAGCCGGAGAGACAGCACACGGGACTTGGAGAGGAGGCGAGAGAGAGTTTATTGATGAGGCAGTTACATATATAGGTCTTGGAGGATTCACAGAGTGACCAATTACAGGATCAGGGGGCTTACAGGACACCCAATCGCAGGAAGGGGTTAAAAGGTCCAATGAGAAGACTTCTTGATATCTTCTCAGGACATTCCTGAGACAGAGATAAGAACTGGCCATGGGGGATTTTGGGAAGAAGAACCTGAGTTAGCAAAGAGATTACAACAAAGCCATTTTGAAACACACTCAAACCACAGCTTCCCATACAAGGCAGATTTACTGCTACATGTAATGGTTACAAATCACACATGCTGTCTAAATAAGATCTGTATATCAAATATCATAACGTTTGACAGTATCTGGGTCTCAACTTCCCTTGTTTTAGAGGTGAACATTTTGAAGCTCAGCCCTATATGTAGGATTTTAGTCCCATTGGGGTTTGGGAAGTTTGGCCCTGGGCTCTGGTATGCTGAAGAGAGAACAAATGGGTAGTCCCTTTCAGGCAGAAGAGGGAAGAGTGTTCAGATGCTTGAAAAATGTTTGTTCTGCTACTGAAAAGCTTCAGCACCTTTTCTCTCATCAGCACCAGCTTGTGGCTGAGCTCAAGGCTGGGGAGCATTGCACTGTTTGCATGGCTGTACTCCCTGGTTTCTCAGGGCCCATGGCTGCATTGACTTGACATATTTGCAAAATAGCTTTATGTAAGTTAATTCAGATGCTGTGTCCTGTTGCCTCTGCACAAATAACTGTTAAATAGTTTTTTAAAACTTTACTGCAGCACTTGATTCCCTTCTTGATTTTCTATAACCATCCAGCTGATCATTGCAGCAGATTTTGTTCTTAATTTCATTACACTAAAAGAGAAGTAACCTCTGCAAAGTCCAATCAGAGGGAATTTCAGCTCTTTATATTGCCTTGTGTCTGCAGTCTTGTACACTGGAGCTGTGCAAGTGAACTAAATTCAGTACAGAGCATTAAACGCTGTCTCTTTTGTAATTAACATCAGAGAGCTGTATGAAGTCTTGAAGCTATGAAATCCTGCAAGTCCTGTAGAAAATGTTTCCTTATACAGATCTTAAGTGTTGTTCAATGGAATTCACCCTAAAAGATGGAGAACTGCTGGGACATGAAGAACATAAAGCTCTAAGACTGTATGTTGGAGAAAAGTTCCCTCAGAAGCGTGTGTTTAGATGCCTTTGGTGACACATGCTGCCTTGCCTGCCATCCCTGCAAGTGTGGCCTCACTTTCACTGTTATTGCAACATGTGTCAAGTGAAATGAAAACAGAAATTTGGGAAAGGATATAATTAACCTACTTGTAAACATTAACCTTAAATATCTACCTAATTATCTCACTAATTTAATCACTGCAGATCTCAAACTTGTTTGTTAAATATTTAATTCTGCAAATTGTTTTTGATACAGAGGTGTGGGGAGCTTTCTGTGAATGTAAGTTACTCTGTAAAACTTTGCAAGATCGTTGTTATGTTTGCACTTCTTTGAACAAACCCTGCTGTCAACAAGACTTTTAATGGAAATCACAAGAAACTGTGCCCTGAGGCTAAGAGATATAGTGCCCTATTATTTTAAAATCTAATGAACACATTGTGCATAATGTAGACCAGGGTAAATTTCTTCCTGCATATCTTCAGGTTTGATTCCGTGGGAGTCTAGAGTTGAAAGTTCTTGGTTTCCTTGTTTCTTTGGTTGCGGTGCAGCTGTACAGTTATTTCTTACCTATTCACCTCTTTATTACTTGAGGGACTCAGCAAAATGCTGTCCTTGATCTTCAGCCCTTTTTATCAAGTCACTACCTCATGCTAAAAGTAATCCAAAAGGTGTTTAGATGCTGCAGTTACAATGCCACTCAAAGTGGCTCTAATTATTCCTGAGAGGAAAGTTTTGAATTGGGAGTGTTTGTTGAGAAAATGAAAGCTCCGTGTTTGTTCCTTCCTCCCCGATGGGAAGGGGGCTGTGCTCGCACTGCCTCCTGCAAACACACACGAGGCCCAGCTGAGCACTGCAAGGAGGGCCATGGGGATGCCTCCAGCTGCTGGGGCTGGGAGAGGAAACAGCCAGGCTGTGGGTGCTGAGGAAAATCCCAGATGGAGCAGACAGCTAAGCAAGGACAAGCTCTGGAGGCACCTGAATCCTCTGTTCCATGAGAAGGTAGGGGCTCTCAGCTGTGCGGTGCCTCCCCTCCCTCTATCACTCCCCAGGGGCTTCAGCCATCCATCCCCACATTTCAGGCTGTACCCACATGGCAGTTCTGCAACGCTATTTTCTTCATTTTTGTTATATAAGTCTCCTTAATTGAGGAAGAAGGTGGAAAATTGGGACTGACATTGTGTTTCTGTCCTGTAGTTCTTACTATCAGATGAAGATGCAAAGCTATACTAAGGCCAGGTGATGGCTCACAGCAGACCTCTGACAGGAGCCATGTGATTAGTTAGATGTCCATATAAATACCTATTTGCACTATATTACTACCTTATTATATATTATTTGGAATTTCATCCTGATTGTCTATATTTATTACATACAATTCATACATTTATTTATTACTTACAATTCATATATTTATTATACACAATTCATACATTTATTACACACAATTCATTTATTACATGCACAATTCATACTGTTTAGTTCAATAAGAAACAAATTTCTGTGAATTTGGCTGAATAAAGCTGTGTTTGTTCTTGTTAGTTATCCAAAGTCTCATTCTTTCTATGCATTATCTAAATTTCTGGGCATTTTTCCCCTTCATTTACTCCAAAAATTACTTCAATACTAATGAAAACTGAAAGACAGCCAAGACAGGGTGAACTTTTGGACAATTTATGCAAACATGACAGATGAGAATAGATTTACTATAAACATGCCAGGCACAAAAGACTTGACTGCTTTTTAAATACAGTGATACTGGAAGAGATTTATGGATATTTTCAACTGTTCATTAAAGAGAAAGATATTTTGAAACTATAGGCACTATCCTTTTATCCATTTTTGCCTTCCAGGCTGAGTTGCAAACCTTTGATGTTTTCTTCACCAAAAAATAAAAGTAGTTATGAATTTATTTCTCCCAAGCACTTCCATTTTTGTGTCAATTTACAGGTTTTATTACATTCCTGGCAGTCCAAATTATGGTGTTTGGAGAGCACCTAGAGTCCACAGCTCTGAGTTTTCTGAAAATAGGGATGAAGTTCTCTTAATGATGCTTTCTGACCGCTGTCTTTTTTCTTCTTCTTTAGTAATAAAAGGTTAATAAAATCTATGAATACTTTAACTGCCTGCTAGACCAACCAACCAATAAAAGGTTATTCTGATCTAAATTACTGGAAGCCTCTTGAATTGAGAAAGCTAACATGCAGTAACTAGTACCTGCTGGATCAGATTAATAAAAAGCAAAGTCTTAGACGTGAAAATCATGTCTAAATATGGTCCCTGTAGTTGTCCAAGGCATCAATTCCTAGAGCCAGACAGGCATATACTTAACTGTATATTCTCAGAGTCTGCTTCTGTGCCCTTAAAAATCAATAGTAAGCCTTGCTTTCAACTTCAGTGCAACTGAGGTTGTTGGCAGTCGATGATTTTGCAAGATCAGTTCAAGATATTGGAATAGTTTCATGGAATTATTGGATTCTTTCTCTCTAAATAGTGTTAAACTCATATAAGTAGTAAGAATTTAAACGCAAAAATATATGCTCTTGCACTGCTTCTTAAAAACAGTGTATCTTGCCAAATCTCTCCTATCAAGTCAAAACAGTGCACCAAAATGATAGCAGGAAGAATTGTGCAGTGCTTGAAAAATCCAATCCTGCATACTCACAGTGCTGACTATGCCCTCATTCTTTGAAAAGATGGAGAAAGAGCAGATTTGTATGGAAAATAACAGTTTTCATCGCAACCTTAGAAAGATATTGACAATTTTATAGCAGAATCATTTGAGCATTCTGAGAGCCTTCAGAAAAAGGCAGAAACCCTAATAAATGCTTCATTTTGGAAAAATGGATAGCTGAAAGTACTATTTTAACAATTTTTACTGGACTTGCATTTCCAGCTTTTTAAAATTAATTTAAGAGCCACAAACTAACACACATTTATGAATAACATAATGAAGTTGGAGATAATGCAAATGTCTTTATAAATAACATGGTATAGCTTAAATCATTATTTTTAATGCTGCTTTTTTTTTCCCCCTATAGGAACAGGTCTGTGCTGGTCTGCGTTAATTAAATCTAGGTAGGATTCTAAGGCCAGATCATCATTACTTCTGTGTCGCTGATTTAAATCTGCAGTAAAACATTTCTCCATTTAGTTTGGTGCTTTTGTGTCATATTTCATACACTAGTTGTCTCTTAATTAAATCCATGATGGCCCACCAACACAGACTATTAAAATAACTATACTTTGCACTTGACATATTTATGAGACAGATTCATAAGAGTATAGACTGATACTTGAACTACTCACTGAGAAATGCTAATAAGATTATGATGAAGGTAAGATTAGAACATTCGTCTCCCTTTTTGCTTCTCTCTTCTTTTTAGAAATTTATTTTTATAACTGCAATTCACTATTTCTATTCCAGGCTCTTTGATGTTGTTGTATATACCAACAGTTCTTTCTGTGTGGATTTATTGTGGCAATGAAGAGTGGGAAACTGCTAATTTATATCACATCAGTAAAGTGCAAAACTATTGTGTTCCTTGAATTATGAATGTTTGCAGACATCTGTAAAACCTTCACATGGGATTGACATGTGCAAGATGATACCTTTGGAATTGGGTGATGAAAAATATGGATTATCATGAAGTGCCACATTGTTTTCCCTTTATTGCCTTACTCCTTCAGAGCTCCGGTAGGTGTAGGGCTGGCTGAGTCTGCTTCTCTGTGAGGGAGGAGGCAGTGGCGTTGTGCCTGTGACCCCTCACTGCATGTTGTGCCAGGCAGGATGTGGCCTTGGTTCCCCAGCTCCATGTTTGAGAAAAACATTGCTGAAAGAGCTGCTAGATGAAAATCATCAAAGATTTCTATAATTTTTCAGGACCAAGATATTCACTTCTGAGGGACCTTTCCTCTCTCTCCCTTTTTTCCCATTCACATTCTTTCACGGAAGGGCTCCCACTCATGACTGTGTCAGGGGTCCAGGTGTGGCCACAAATGGAGAGCAGCTTGGAGGGTATTCATTTTTCAAGTGGGGTATACAGAAGCCCTCAGCTACATGATGTTCAGATTTTTTTGAGAGTAATACATCACTGTACTTCATTCTGGTATTCTCCATGAAAGTGGCAAAACCATCAAATGTTGGGATTTGATGTAGAAATAAATACAATATTAGAAAGTAAGAATAATAAGAATATATTAAATATTTCATCCTCTACAGAAATAAACCAGCTACAGTTCAGGGAGCTTCACTAAACACATTAAGTCTAATAAAATCGCCTACACGTACTCCTGACACTAGTAGTAATTAAAATAACTTGTTTCAAAAAACTGGTCCTATACATGAATACTTATTGGCAATTATTTCTAAGTTCTTCAAACCAAAGATAAAGTAATTTGATTCACACACAATGTTCTTGTAAACGTCGTTCATACTGGGTTTTATATGCAGCTTAGGACTGTTAATTGCCGTTTTGAGCCTCACAGTAAAACAGAGTTCAATATGTCGCTTTTTCTAAAGTATTGAGAAATGTTTGAGAAATGCTTGTCTTAGTCTAATCAACTGTGAATAATTTATTTCTTAGTCCTACTTTTCAGTATAAATGGATCTGACTTTTCTCCGAGCTTCTCAAGTCTAATCAACTTGTTACATTCATTTAATTAAGGAAATCTGTAACGAACTGTGAAATGTATGTACCAACAGGCTTTTTTGTTGTGTAAAATTGGCACATCTTCATTGTGATTGTGACTGTTTATACTGACAGGTAGCCTCTACTAAACAAATTTTTTTTCTACACAGATAGGTCAATATGAATAGCATATAAGCCCTTTTCTGAACCACCTCTCTCCTGTTGGACCCACCACCCAGCTTCCCCAATTCACACAGTTGTAGCTTTCAGGCAATTCTCATTTCTGAGACAGAAGTGTTCTTCCATGCTTCAAACTGGAGGAGGATGTAGTAGAGGTGTGACATATAAGAGTGTGGATAAGAGACTTTTTAGTCACAGTTAGCCTGAAAAAGATCATCACAGTAGAATATTAAAACACTGGCACAAGCTTATGGTCAGGATTTGCATGCCACACAGTTATCCACAAAGGGGTGAGCTAAGGCACTGAGTGAAAGTCCTGTCTGTGTTTCCCAGCCTGACATAATTTGTTCTCATTTCTCTGAGAAATCAGCATCATAGGAAAGGTAAAATAAAGGGCTCTTACATCACATATGCATTTGTTTTTGAAAAGACTCTATATTTATTTGTTAAAAGATGTTCAGAAGTCCATCATTTCTCCCATATTCCTGTGATATGAGAAAATTTTTTTTAAAAATTAAGAGAGATGCTGTGGGGATTGACACATTATTTTTTTTCTCCTTATGCTCAGACAAATTCTTCAGACTCAGAGAAAAAGTCCTCAACCCTGGTCTAAAATACTGTCCAGTGCTTATGGGTTATAATATGAAAATCATCAAAACTGTCCTTGACAGGATGTTTCTTTCCATTAGTTGATTAAAATGGTTTATTGTTGCCTACAGCATCATTACTTTAAATGTATTTTTTTACAAAGAGCAGATGTGCCCATGTCTTGCACTCTTTCTCTTCGTGTGGTTTCTGATAAATATGGAAGTGAAATTACTATCTTGGCAGATCCCCCCCGTGGAATTTCAGAGAGGGAGAGGGAAAGGTGAGGGGCTCAGTGATGGGGCTGGGATACCTGCTTTGGGAGTGCAGTGGAGGGCAGCGGTGGCAGCACTCGGGCACAGGGGTATAATGGCACTGCAGAGAGTTGGAGGCAAAGCATGCAAACCTGCAAGCACCAAGTGCTCAGAATAGGAAAAAAACTGGCCAAAATCTGGAATTATCTGCCTGGTAATGCTTTATGTCTGCTCTGACAAAGCAAGAAGAGGGTTTTCACATTTTTTCAGATGGACAACTCTAAAGTTTCAGTCAGAACGTGGAAGTGGAGAGCAGCTGATCCTAAAACACTAAATAAGTTTGCATCAGTATAAAATCTTATCTATCCACTGCTGTGACAAAGAAAACTGAAAAGTCTAAGTCTTCAGGATGCACATTAATCTTTCTTTGTTTTCTTGTCCCATCCATGTTTGATGGGGGAGCTGAAATCTCAATACTATTTCCAAATCTAGGGGTCATTTCAAGCAATAGTTATGGTATGAATACCTTTCCATCCCCCAGCACAATTTTTCTAAGGCATGTTGTCATCTAATGATAATGGAGTCTTTCATTAGTGAATCACAAGTTATTGGGCATGTGACCTTATGTTCAATAAATATTTGTTTGAGAATTATAGGTTAATTAATTTCCATTGTTTCTGTTTTAATTCTATACATGCTTATACTATACAATTAGAGAAAAACACAGAGAACCACGAGTAAATGTTGCTCATACAAAATGTTTCTATTACCCTTTACTTTTAAAACCATTAATAGATTATTAGAAGATACAAACATAGGAGGCCATGGATCATATTTGCATGTTAATGAAATTCATGAATTATACATTATTTGCTATGGAGAGTACTAGAAACAATATTCCTCCTTTCTAATAGCTATAAAAGCTAGCAGTTTCCTGGAGCACACATCACATCCCCTCTGCAATACCTTCTAATAGAAAGAAAGAAATCCAGCTCTTCAAAGCAATCTCTCACTAAATGAAATAGATTTGTTTGTGTTGCTTTGCAACACACAAGTGTGACAGTTCATTTTAAACAAAATAGTTTTAATAATGTCATTACTAATATCTATTTGGTCATCTCTCTGAAAAATGTTGTTTTAATAGGAATGTTTCATTTTAATAAATGGCAGAAGGGGCAAGCTGCCCTGAGTCAGCAGGAAGTGGATATACACCAGAGAACAGGCTGATTGTGTTAGATTCATCCAGAACACTGAACAGCACACAGACA